AGTCGCCCCTTCCCCCACCAGCGGGTGGAACCATCCCCGAATCGATGAAAATGATTAACGGAATGCACATCCAACGATCCGCAAGGAATCCCGCTAAATGCCAAGGTTACAAATTTCCACTGTACCGCATTATATCCGGAGAGGGAGGGTAGGGGGTAAGGCTGCTCTTATAGAGATGATTTTCGTATTTGGACGGGGTCCAAAGTGAAAGAAGACGCGTGCGTGGGGTTCCATGGTCGTCTAATGTGCTTTTTCAAATAAAGCTACTTACACATGAAAGACGGAAATATAAATGGGCGAATATGTCTGGCCGAATACAGGGTGGGGGGAGCGAGTGTACAGGGGAACCAATGTCTGTGGTAGGTCGAATGCCTTACGATGCAGGAACATCGTAACCGCCACCATCTCGAAAACACTATTCGCGATTTACGCGACAAAAAAAGCCTGTTCTGTGTTTACGTTACGAGTTTTAGACGCCATCGATTCCACCGCCGCCATACGTTTAACCCTCCCCCACCTAAACCACACACGTGTCCCGTCTCGAAGACGCAAGGCTTGCTCGCGAATGCTGAAAAATGTACTCGCGCAAATATTATGAGCGTAGATCGTATACCTACGCGCGTCTTGTGTTTCTCACGCAGAACCATGGACGTCCTCTCCCGGCCGCGAGAGTTACTTTACTGCTGGCGGTCTCGTTTCCACCGGAAGTAAATTGGACACGAAACAGCTACTCCGTATGCGCCGGGTGCGCCGGATCCGACACTTCCCCGGTGTTCTCCATCCCACCATCGCGGGTATAATCGCCGTCGGAACTGCGTCCGATCTTCTACTCGCGGGGAAATTTAATTGAAACGATCAATAACGTTATTGTTGGACGGGGCTTTTCGGTGACATATGGACGGGTGGGACTGTTTCGAGACCGGAAACGTTGGAAGGATTATGGACGTTGTGTTTCGGGGACAGTAATAGTCACGGGAGGATTTTTACGTCCTCTTTGAACGTCCTCGTAAACGCTCTGGAACGCGGAATTTTTGGTAATCATTGTGATTCGGCGTTTAATCGCGGAAAGGGTCTACTGATGTTACTAGTAAGTCGAGTCACAAATCATTTCCGTCAGAGACACGAGAACAATTACTGAATAACTGTTAAATAGCAACGGTTGGAGGATTTGGTGAAGTGAATATCAATTATTCGATTTAGAGGTAATTAGGAACGTTGTGTAGATTAATAGTAAAATACCTTGAATTGATATATGAAAGAAAGCAGAGCGGAAGTTATTTATGATTCACTTAATATTATTTCAATGTATAGGGTGTTACCGAAATGGTGGTACAACCGGAAGGGGTGTGACTATACGTGCAAAAATAAGTTGAAAATTTAAGACTGCTGCATAATATATTAACATAGAACCCGACAAAACACAACCTTAAATTTCATACACGCGGAGTATTCAAGCCTGTACCGCACGAGAAATGTTAAATTTTTATTTTCATCACACTGTAAATCCAACACCATAGTTTTATTGGGTGTTTCTGCATTCGGCGCTCTTTAAGCTGCACGCTGAATTGGACCCATAACGTAAAAGGAAAAAACGATGATGTTCGACGGGTACAAGGTTCCAGTGAACGTTCACGTAACCTCCAAATGCTTTTTTATTCCCGTGTTACGTGGTTCGGTTAAGAATTTCCATTTTCGACGATCCCCTGGTATTTTCAAGATTAAAACGTTCTTGGCGCCACCTCGTCGGAACGGATTATTACGGTGTGATCCGCGTTGACGAACTCTCGCGACGAAAGGAAAAAGAAACGATTCCCGGAATTTCAGTCACGTTCCCCGAACGATCATTTTATCGGGGGACCAGTTTAATTGAATTTAATTAGCCGTCGATGGAATATCGCGGTCTAATCTTCGCCGAATCGTCGACGATAGGCTGTCGCGAGAGGATGGAAGGATCGCGACAAAAGAACCAACGATACGTTCGAACGTTATTTAAAACGTGTCGTTATAAAACCGTGAATCGTGATTAGAGACAGATATTGTGTCCAGTTTAAAGATTTATACCGTGAAAGCCGGCGGCTAATCAGCCGAGTTAATATTCTCCACGAACTCGTTAAGAGACCGGTGTGGATGTTTATGCAAATTCACATTTTTATGGAGTGATTTATGGTAGCGAGACATTAAACGGCATACTTATTACCACAATTAATGGTTTTAGTAGCTAAACAGTGACATGAGATATGTGTTAAACATCACGGAATGTTGTATATTATTGTGTTTCGCTCACCTCTGTCCGCTATAAATGTATAACGGATGTCTACTAATTAACGATCAGCTCGGTTGCTCGTTCGCCAATTTAATTGATTCGTTTTAATGTCCGTTCAAGATTCGCACGTAATTACCAACTTCTCTGAACTATAAACTGTAAGACTCTTTGTGGTTGCGGTAATTCTATCGCCAGAATCTGCAATTCTGTTAACGACACACATGTAATTTGTAATTCTACTGTTATACCTTTAGAAATTCATACGAGTTTACCGACGTCCATCTTCATCATCGATGTAATAAATAATTAAATGAATCCACCGTTGATGCTTAATACTTACATAAGTAAATTTCACAAGGCAACCTTTCTTAAACTTCACGAATTTAACATTCTAGCACAAGTGAAACAATAGTTTCTTTTCAAACGGACGCAGAACTTTTGTAATACAAATTTTAAATGCAACCGAATTGTTTCAATGAAATTGTAATCGATTTACCGGTTAATTACGGACAAAGTGTGATAATATGGCTGATAATTATAATCGAATCCGCGGGAGCTGAATTCTCGCCGCGACGAACCGGTTTCCTTCGCTCTTTTTTTCTGTTCAGTCCCGGGGCCCATTGAAAAAGCGCAGAAAAATTGAAACCGCCATGATAATTAACGCAACACGACCGCAATCGTCCGCTTTCGCCGTATTCACTCGTTGCTCCCATTTCCGCGGATACAAATAATCCATTGAAACGTGTCTTTTTGTCTCGATTCTTCGGCCGAGACCGATTCACCAGCGGCTTCCTCCGTGGCAAAAATGTCGGGTCGCGCGAAAAATCAGGGGAATTAGTAAGGTACAATAGCTGGGAAATATCTATTCGACACTCACGAGGGAAATTCCTTATTAACCTTACTGTTCACAAAAAATAAGGTCTCGTAGATTTGTTTAAAAGATACTGACTGAAAGATAACAGACTGCAAATTACTGCAATTATAATAGTGCTTTTGATAGAATTTATGTTGACACCACGTCTTTAACGGTAACCGCGATTTTACAATTTCTGAAATAATGAACATCGAATTAATGAACTTGATCGTTGAAAATAAAAAATTTGAAATTCGTCGTTTCGACGGATTCGGTTTGTTCTAACGTTAAAGACAAAGTATGTACAAATTTCAGCAAATTATCAAATTATTACCATTCATATGTAGAACAATCAGACACGTACAAAAATAAACACAAGAAAAGAAGTCAATCAATAGGTGATTCCTTTCGTTACGATGATTCGTCGTCATCGATCGCGAATCGACTTGGCGCGATGATCGGAGACGTTCGCGGCCGTGTGTACTTACAGCATGACGGGGAGGGATGGAGGGGTGGTTCGGCCGATTAGCATTTGTTTGGTCTACGAACAGGACACGGGATAATGATGCAATTAATAATGTCGCGAAACGGGCGCGGGGACAAACGCCGTCCCGTTCTGTCGCAGCAGCTCCTTTGTACACGAGCGTATTAACACGGGGGACGGGTATATACGTCGGCGGTTGTGTCGCCCTATTCACGAGCAGCAGACAGCGGGCGCCTTTAGATTTATCGATGGTTATCGATGCACGGCTCGTTTAACGGTAAGTGGGAAGCTGGCTGGTCGCTGGATGAACACTTAAGCGGGCCCCGAGTGCTGCATAACGATTGTTTCTTTATGGCCAATTATGCCTCCGATGTAGCTACGGCCACTCGACCGAACAAGACAATTAACGCTTCGATTATTTTAATATAATTTATTTAACAGTTCCCTTCGAATATACCATTCGGGTAAAAGGGAAATACGGTAGTACCTTCTGGTTCTCTACAGTCACGTTAGTTGGAAACGCGATTATAGAGTAGTCATGTAAATATATTATATCGTGCGTATACATAGGACTCGATGATATTCATGTAGCTTATCAGGAATTTTATGAATATATATCTCTCTCGGCTAATTAAATTGTTGGAACTTTTCAAGATCCACGCTGTTCCCTCCACCCCCTTTTTTCCTTGGTTTTTTTATGTCGATCGAACGAACGAAATGGTAAACGCGACGAATAATTTTAAAAATGTTTCGAGCTTTAATCTGTGAATTGCGCGCGGCATCATGAAAAAACATGGACGATGGGCCGTAGGGCTGGAGGGCTGGAACGAGGGGAGAGGGGTCGGTCGAAAAATTCAGTTTCACGAGATCCTTTTTGCTGTTTAAGCCGAACGCAACGGAATTCCCACTCGTTAATATGATCCAATAAACAAAGCGAAATTATCGAGATAATATTCGAATTCTCGGACCAATTGCGCAACGGACGTTGCGATTTTCCGATACGATACATTATCCGGTTGCGCGTAATGAATGTGCTCACCTGTGCGTAGAAATCTGCGAGTGGATGCAACAGGATATGGCGTTTGAGAAGAACCGTTGGATTGCTATGATGGATAACGAAATTTGTATCTCAAGGTTAATTCTTCCATCTATTAGAGACACAGAACACTAGAGGCTCGACTGATATTTTTCTGTAAAAAGCTACCGTTTAGTAAAAACGATGGAAAGTTGTAATCGTCGCGTAATAAATTTACAGGTCGAATGAAGTGGCTTACAGCAGTATTGTACACTTAATATATTACACACAGTGCATAATTCACTCTATACATTTAGTAAATCCTATTAGTAGTCCTACTATTAGCTGTTCAAACCCTTTAATAATTCTTACAATTTTGTTTCAGGTTTAAATCTGACACCAACGGGCGATAATTTTGGTGAGTCAAAAACAATTACATATTCGTATAAACAATAGTACCGACGTTCTGCTTTTCCACGTCAGTATAAAGAAAATTGATCTTGCAACATCATCGATCCTAACGTTAATCTGAGATAAGCAAGTTAGGCCAATTTAAGACCAGGTGACATCTAAATCGACCGATTCAGGTTTTCACTGTTGTCAACCCAGGACCAAAGGGCACTATTCAAATGAGCATACTATCGAGAAACCTCCTAAAAACCAAGGAAGCTCGCATCCTCTCGACTAAACAATTGCACGCTCGAATCACGAACAAAGTACCGTCTGTCGACTTCGTACCGCGTAATACAAAAATGCTAGTTATTCCAAAACGTTACATTAAACGTATCGCTATAAAAAAAAAAGAAAACCGAGAAGAGAAATCCGACGCGTGAAGCTATATCATCCGCAAAATTAGTTTCAAAAGATCTCGCCCTGGTCTACCCTCGAATCTCTCTCGCGTTCGTTAATAACGTAACCGACGATATTAATTTCGAACAGGCTAATCGATACGTGGTTTGAAATGCGAAATAAAAAACCGGTGCCCAGCCAAAGAAAAATCACGCACGGTGGGAACCAATATGGCGGGGGGTCGGCTGCTCGGCCAGTCACCCTGAAAAGAATTCTTTCGAGGTCTGTATCGTGTGGCTTTCGAATGTACGAATGCCTCGGCGAATCAAGTTGCCGTCGCGCGGGCAGGCTCATTTTCATAAATTATATT